TCCTGACAACTCTCTTATATCCGTGTTACACTGTACAATTATTGGTGACATTGGAATTAGTTTGGGAATTTATTTTTGTTGGTGTGTGTGTGTGATGAACATTAACTTTTTGCCAAAGTTTGTCCTCTATGCCCACAATAAAATGGGTTGTAAAACAAGTGTTTTTTTTTCCCTTGACAAAACTGTTACCTTCACTCCCTCAGCAATGTTTAGTGTTTTAAAAAGCAAGGATTAAATTTAATAAAACCCAAACATATGAAAATTAATTTAAACATTTTTGTTCTTTTAGAATTTGACAAAAACATTCAAAACTGTTTAGTAGATTGATTATTTACAAGAATAATTTTATATTTACATTATTCTAAAAATGCAAACAACTAATACAGTGTAATGTTTATCATTTACCAATTTGTAAATACAGTGTAACCAATTTATAAGAAATAAATATGAAAACAATTTCATAAATTTATAAAACCTTACTAAATCATAGAAATATGTGAACCAACGTTAATGAAATCTTTATTACTTACTATTTTATGAAGCTGGAATTGATTGATAATTTGCCAATTTGTTTAAAATTTTGTAGGTTTTTATAAATTTTTGAATAAAATGATTTCTTTTCAAATTTATTTCTTTACAAAATAGTTACTAATAAACCTTTATAAAATGGTAAATAATAAATATCCCATTGTTCTTGGTTCACATATTTTTATAATTTTGTAAGTAAACATTGGCGAAGGAGTTTTGATAAAGTAATAACAGTGTCAACAGAAACAAAAAACATACATTTGAAATACTGTTTTTTTGTGTGCACAAAGGTTAAACATTGCCAACTTTTTTTTAGTAGAAAATAAAACAGTATATATCATTTTTTTTCTTAAATAAATGGAACCTAATTTAGAAAAGAAATGATGACCACAGTAGATGAATTCATTTGCACATTGTTCTCTTTATATTCTGATTTGACTGTCCTTAATGAATTATTTCAAACCAGGTATAGTTTCCAGATTAAGAGTTTCCAAAAAATGGCATTTTGGTTTGGGACATTTCACATTCTAGGCTTAGACTTTCAGGAACTTATGATTAAAACCTTTCCACTTCCACAGACGTTGTTTTTTGAAAGTATTTATTTATTTTTTAAACTTGTATAAGGACCCATTTAGTGGTATCTCTAGAAATTAATCTTGGCTTTAAGTTGGTTTGGACAGCTTAGAAACTTAATGCAAGTATTTTATATTTACACATTCCTACATAGCTTATTTATAGAAAGATTAGTAACCTCAAAAGAAACAACTTTATCATAGTGAATAGAATAATCTAAGTGGACAGTATTGCTTGCTGTTAATGTGCCACTTACTTTTCCTCTCACAGCAAAGAAGATATAAATTATTCAATTTTTATATTTTTAAAGAAAAGAATATTCCAAATTCTGCTAAGAAAACCTCCACATTAGCAGTTTTTTTTTTTGTTTTTGTTTTTGTTTTTCATAAAAAAATAATGGACAAAAATAAATTCTCATGGGTTTCCACTTTTCTTGTACAAAAGAAACTAATTGTTATGTATATTATTGTTGTGAAGGTGGTAGGTTTTTTTTTTTTTTTTTTTTTTTGAACAAAAGTCATAGTAAATTAAAATGTACAAAAGTTCACTGTTAAATTGTCCACAAAAATCCAATGCTGATTAATTGTGTCACAATTTTTATTGTTTAAAAAAGCAAAAGAATCCAACTTCCCCTGAGCAAAGAAACACAAACAAGATGCCATTAGACTTTTTAACACCAGTTGTAACAGGAACAGCCATCTTGGAATGGTTTATTATGATCACCATTAGGTGGCAGTCTTTGTGTTTCTTTTTTTTTTCTTTTGGCAGGTGGCATGGCATTACCAACACATAGTTTACTAATAGTTGCCTTATCTATATGATTATTCAACGTTATCTGGAATTACCTCAGATAAAGTAGCATTCACGATCATTTACAATGAGTGAATCTTTGTCTTGGCATGGAATAATTGTTAGTAAAGCTAAAGTGGTTGAGTATTATGATTAAGTAGTGATTTTGATCCTCACTGCTTGCTTCCATACGAAATTCTACTTTAAATAAACCAAGAGGTAAATTGTCAACAAATGATTGACCATTTAACTATCAGCCTAACAGAAAGGGCAAGAGGTGACATCGCAGTAAATTTACAAGTGTAACTATATATTATTGAGATGATCAAATATAGAAAAGTATTTTTTTTTTTTAATTTTTTTTTTTTATTTCAACCAGTCATCATTTATAAGTTTTATAAAAATGAATGACTTAATGACCCTGATGGCAAATCAGGTACCAGTGTATTGAATTTCTGTCAGGACTGCAGGGTTTCACTTTTTCAATAATCACTTAGAAAAGTTAACCTTTTTTCTTTCTTTATTTTTAATTCTTTATTTTTTTAAGATGTTATCCTTTATTTTTAGCAGGCAAACTGAGTTATCAAACTTGTAACCAGCCTGGGAGAAGGACAACTCTAAATTCAAAGCTATATGTGACTCTGGTGAAGCACATATTTAAACTGTAACTAAGGTCTGTTCAGCATAGGCGTAGCATAAATTGTGGATATTGAAGAAACAAATGTGCCTGAGCAGACAGGCATGCTAAGAAAGCAGCCATACTGAAGATGCAAAATCACATTGATCAACAGTGTGCTTTCAAGTCAAAACAGTTCTGATGGTGATGATAATGTGTTTTATTTGATTAGTTTTCAATATTACAGGAAAAATATTAAAGTATCTACACTTATTTGATTTTTGTGTGATTTGTGTGTGTCTACAATAAACATTCTTGAAAAGTATCTGAATTTCTTCAGGAATAATGCTGGTGATTTCTATTCAGCCTCTGAGTAATCTGTGAGCATGTGAAATGCAAAACTTGTAGCTTCTCTAATATCTTTATTTGCTTAGTGCCATTTCATAGAAAAACTGTCACTGTTACCAAAACCATCTTCCTATCTACACTGATGGATCAAAGTAAGGTGTGCAGCCATACATAACAAAAGTAATGAACTTCCTGCCAAACAATACCTCTATATTAGTGAAGTAGTAGTTATAGATTTAGCTCTTGGCATCATAACTATAAGCAAACACAAAACATTTATCATATATTCAGACTCCATGTCAGTACTCACAACACTCAAAAAAAAAAAAAAAAATATATATATATATATATATATATATATAGACCTACTAATTATAAAACTTTTAAACAGAATTGAATATATGTCAACTTATAATATCTTCTGCTGTATACTTATCCATATTGGCAACAATAGGAACAATTTGGCAGCCGAAAATGCATCATCCTTCAAGGATAGTTCAGACACCAAGATCCCCTACACAAACCTCAAATCAACTATTAACATATTTATAAAAGAAGAATTGCAGAAATTATGGTCCAGCTGCCCAAACAACAAATTATGCAACATCAAACCTACTCTAGAAGAATGGCATCAAACACTAAAAACAAGAAAAGATAAAGTAATAATGTCCAGACATCAGACACTCCATGATAACACTGTCTTATATTCTAAAAGAAGAGACACCTCCAATCTGTACAACATGCCTAGAACTATACACAATAAAACATATACTAACAAATTGTAGCAACTTCAGTCAAATCCGTTTATAATACTACTGAACAATCAACATGAAAGAATTCTTTCCTGACATTAATCCATATAATATCCTAAAATTTCTTAAAGGAATCAAACTGTATTCCAAAATATAATGTCAACAAAAATATGACATAGAATATGCATATTACTGCTTCTAATAATTATGTCCACACAAACATGCATATACACAAAAGCTGAGTATCATCTACCATGTATTCAGTTGTGAAATCAGAATAACATATATCATTTTTATTAATTACTTCAAAGATCCCAATTAAATTAAATTTCAACATTAAATGACCCATAAGGAGTTGATATGATATTAAACAAACAAATCTGTCAGTCGTCCAGAGGCGGTTTGTTAACACTGATTTATGTATTTGCTGAAATTATCTAACTTTAGCTCAAAGTTCTGTTGACAGAGAATCTATTTAGAAATATATTAGTAAATGTTTCCCAAAATTGTTTGATGACAAAGAAAAGAAATAATCCTGATGTGATTTAAAACTTCCTTGAGTTTTAATTTAGAGTTATTACATTGATCATATTATGATGGTCTTCGTCCAAAGCACTGGATATTTGTAATTGGCCTAAACTGTTGCCATATCAGAATGAATGTAATTAAGGATAGTTCTATTTAAATTATTTCAAAATTGATAAAAAGTACATAATCTGGATTGAATCTGCCAATTTCAGTTGAAATGGAGATTATTATTAACAAACCTCGGGAGATAGTTAATATTGAACCACCATGAAGTAAAGATTTAAGTTCAAAATTTTTACTTCAAGGTGGTTCTATATATAAGTAAAAGTGGCCAATTCCCCCCACCCCTTTTTTTTGCTTTTTTTTTTTTTAAATGTCAAACTCTACAATCCTCACAACTGCTGTTATAAGATCAGATGGCAAGATGCCATAACCACCTTTTTTCAAAGAAGTCCTGTAATAGTTCTCTTTTGTATTTCTGTTTTTAATCGAAGACTTGTGTCTATTTTAATTGCCCATTTCAATGAGTCTTTATTGCTTATTTGTCTTGTCTTGACAAGAACAATAATCTTGACAACATGCTGTTTTCTTTTCATTAATCAATGCAACTTTTATATTTATTTTGTTTCTTCTCTCTCTCACTCTCTCGACTTTTTCCCAAGCTTTCAGTAAACTTTTCTAACCTGTTCATGTATTTCCAAGTGTGTCTGGCATGTGTCTTGCCACCTCACTTGATCTGTGTATTTGTTTCACACCAAACTTAACTTGTACATCATGTACAACAACAACCTGCATTGCATTGTTTTTACTTTGCATTGCTTTTTCTGTCTTGTTTGACTCTTCTTTCTTTCTTCTTCTCATTTCAGTTAACCATGAATGATTTCAGTGTACATAGAATTATTGGACGGGGAGGATTCGGTGAAGTGTATGGGTGCAGAAAAGCAGATACTGGCAAGATGTAAGTAATATACAACAGTTGTGTTTTGCATGCTTACTTTTATGTACCAAACTGTGTGGGAGGACTTAAGTAGTTAAAGATAGTTTATATATTGTGTAGATCATAAGGAAATCTAAAGGGACAGTTGATAATGCTGTCTCGTGGCTGAATGGATTATAGCTTAGCCTTTTTGTTTTTTTAAACCACTGGAAAACTTAATTTAGTACACACTCTAAAAGCAATTTTGCTAGTGTGTGTGTGAGTGCATGTGTGTGTGTGTTTTATGATGTCATAGATGTGTTGAATGAATTTGAGCTTGTTATATATTCCTTCTCTAAACACTGAAGTTTGATTTGTTGATTTATGTTCAGGAAAACCACCTGTTTCTAATCATATTAAGAATGCAGATGCATTAATAATAATAATAATAATAATAATAATAAGGTACTATTCAAATTTGGGTTTTTCTACTCTCAACAGTTATCAAAAAATGTGACAACCTATCAAAAAAAAAAATGAATAAATAAATAAACTTATTAGCATGCATTGAATAAAATCAATTTTTAAAGGTTTTTAGCCCAAATTCTGGAAATGTATACTTGGAGAGTAATTGACAGAAATTCCCAACAAACAGAATTGACATTGTTTCCAATAAACAATAACAAAAGAAGGAAAAGAACAGGGTAAAATTAATACAAAGCAATCAAATATATTTAATTATAAAGACATAAATGGGCAAAGTAACTGTAATAAGCCCAAAAGTTCACAAACTAAAAATAATATTAACCCACAAAAGCAGTACAGGCAAGTGATTGCAGCATTCTGACTTGAAGACAAGAAAGAACAAGAATATAGCAGATGAGAATGAGAAGTGGCCTATGTTGTTGGCTAGAAAGAAATCCCAGCATGCATCTGTGTGATTTGTCTATAAATTTGGGGAGAGGGATGTTTTTGCAGTCATTCCCACTGTGAACTGGAACCAACAATACTTGACAACTTTTGAGGTGCCATTTAATTCATTTTAACTATATTTGAAATGAATTTCACCTAAATTTCTAAAATAGTTAAATTTTATATAGCTTTTAGTAAGAAGAATGTTGTCTATGTATTCACCCAGTTGCATCACTTGCTATAGCATTGGCTTCAAACACATTACTAGTTTCTTTATAGTTGTTTTATTATACAGGGTGTGATGAGGAAATTGTCATCATTTTATATTTTTAATTGCACACGTGTTGTTTTTATTTTTGATTTTGTCGACTGCACAAAATTTGGAAACCAAATGCTGTACTGCTTAGCATTCACGTTGGAAGCTCTGATATGAACATTTCATTTTGGGTGTCGATCAGTGTAGAGGATTTGGAAAGAGTTGGATGAGTCTAATGATGATAACGAGGGGTACAGCAGGTCAGAAAACTCACTCTGATCATTCTGATAAGAAAAGAACTCTTGAATTTGTTGATGATGGCTTCAGACTCAACACAGATGACTACATCAATTGCCTTGAGGAGGTAGTGCTGCCCTGGGTGAAGAGGGTGGCTGCTGGAAGATCCTCTGTCTGACAACAGGACTCTGCATCATGCCACATAAGCAAGAGAACCCAGTAATGGCTGTTAGTCAATTTCTGCAACCACATCACCCCTTACATCTGGCCACCTAAATCCCCAGGCTGCAACCTCATTGTTTATTATGTGTGGCATGCAGTTGAGTGAGAGATCATCAAAACTCCTTGTAACACCAAAGATGAACTGAAGGCAAGGATTGTGGCAGCATTTACCAACTTAAATAAGGAGACCATCCAGAAGAGTTGCAGGGGATTCCTAAGTCATCCATAGGCCACTGATAAAGCCAATGGCTATTTTATTGAATAAATTTACTCTTTAGTATTTCAAGATATTTTTGTATAATTTTGGTAAATATATCTGTTAAAATGAGATGTCAGCATTATTTTCATTTTTTTTGCATAATTTAGATGACAATTTATCCAATGCACTCTGTATTCATTTAGAACATTTTACCCCACTGTGGTCACTACTCCCTCTATTTCTGTTCTGATTGTGGTTTGTGGTAACATTCAAGGCAAAATAGTGCAATGGCTTGCCAGTTCCTTAAGGATGTTGAAGCTACCCAGTTCCTTCACCCGCTCCTAAAGCTGCTGACCTCTGAAGTGCAGCACCTACGCCCAAACTGGTGACTGACCAATGTCTGCTTGGCACAGATGGGTTAGGGAGAGGTGTTCCCTTTCACTGGCCAGATTGGGAAACTCTTCTGACTACCTTCACACAGTTCAGTCAGCAGGTTGATGCTGTTGACCAGGGTGTGAATTTTGCAGTGCCCATGCAACTTTGGAGCCATATGTGAGAGATGGATATAGGCCATGAGCTAGTATAGTTCCACATCCCAATTCACCTGAGTAAAGCAGAGTCAACCACTTTGCTGCAAAGGTACTATCACTGATGATACACTCCATACACCCACCTTATAATTAATTTTTTTTTTAAATATGTGTAATTTAGATTGTTTTTTTTTTTAATTCTATAGATGAAGAAGGTTATAATGAACTGATTTCAGAATTAACTGAATACTATTGTTTGCATTATCTAAAATAAATAGGAATGGGTTAATAAAAGGGCAATTGAAAAAAAATGAGAAAATTTAATAAAACAGAGACATTTCAATATATGAGGTGGTTGGGAAATGATTAAAAACAAGTCTTTCAAACTATAAGACCTTGAAGAAATAAAATTATATCTATGTCTTTAAGTAAAATGCTTTAACAAAACTGAAAATATTTCCGAGGAATCTTGCTAACATTACAATATAAATAAAAATTAATTATCAGGGTTGAGAAAAAATCTAAAAATTAACAAGCTGGGTAAGGGACATTTATTTAGCAGTGAAATGTACATGTTTCCTCTGAATTTATTTGTATCTGCTTGATACAGGAACAAAATTTTTTTCCTGTCCACTACATGTCACTCGCAGAAACATTAACTTGACTGCCCAAATAATCACTACTGATTATCATTCATCTGTTGACCATTTATCTCTCAGCCAAACAGAAATGGCAGGAGGTGACCACAGTAATTTTACAAGTGTAACTATATATTATTGAGATGTTCAAATATGGAAAAGTATTTTTTATTTTAGCCAGTCAGCATTTATAAGATTTATAAAATGAATCAATTAAAGACCGTAAATTTTTTGTCAGGGTCTCAGGGCTTCACTTTTTTCAATAATCTAGTAGAAAATTTAACCATTTATTTTATTTCTTTTTTTTTTTAAATTTTCTGAAAACATACAGTTGGCTTAGATGCATACATTTGGCATTTTTGGGACATTTCCTGAGTGATATTTGCTGTATCTTGTCTGAAAATAGACAGTCTCAAGATTTCAAAATTGGTTTAACCTTGTCCTAGCTCCAAGTATCTATTACGATTGTTTGAACTCAATCAAAACTTGTGCATATTTAATCATTTATTTTTGTTATTATTTTTTGTTTTTAATCATTTCACCTCCAAGCAAGGCAATAAGGCCACTAGGATGCAAGAGGCTACAGAGTATTTGAGAATGAGAAAAAACTACTATTAAGGAACGAGGACAATAAAAGGACAAGAATTAGGAAGACAGAAGATAACAATTGACATTGCATTTAAATTTTTGAAGATCAAGTTGGCTGGGAAGCAAGAAACAGGAAGAGTATTCCACAAGCAAGAAGTGTGGTAAAACAGTTTTAACATAGAATTTATTTCTAGTACTACGCTTAAATTCATAGAGTCTAGGTACTATAGAGAAAAGTTCATCAAAACAATTCCCTGGAAAGTATTTATTGAAAAGGCATAGGGAAGCAAGATTACGGTGGTGGAGAAGCGACTGAAGTCGAGATACCAGACCAAAACCAATAACATTGCATATTTTTTTTTTTGGGTGGGGGTATCAAGAATCCATAAGTATACAGCATGAGCACCAGTTCAGATGTGGCAGCAGAATTCAAAGCAAAAACGAATGGTAGACTTATATATACGTATATATATATAAGAGAGATCCTGGTGAAAAACATTATTCAGTGCATTATTTAGATGATCAGTTCTGGGCTTTTCTACCCGTCTTCTTGTTGAAGTGAATGTTATAAATGACAGACATGTTTAACTTGACACTCTTTTTTTCCAAAATGTCCTCTAGCGAGTGGATTTAAATTAACACCATTTTTGTCATATTTTGCCTGTTTTTTTTGTCTCTAATCAACCCCCAAATTCAAATAACAGTAACAAGAAATTCCCATGACAAAAGTTTTTCTCATTTTTAGTATAACATCCCAAATATTCAAATAGTTTAAATTTGCAAAATGGGAGAAGATATTTAAAATATATTCAGTTCGTTTCAGAGATTGAATTACTTTCGTTTGGCACCAAATACAAGTTTTTGACATAACTTTCCTTGTGTTTAGCATAAAATCATGATCTAAACCTCTATTACAATGATTTTTGTGAGGGTTGGGTTGTGAATCTATTTTTGGCGCTGGGAATTTCCCCACCAAAAAAGTCTAAATGGGTTAAATACAAAAATTAAGCTCTTTTCAAGAATTTTTGATCTTCACTACGGACTAGGGTCTCTTGACCTAAACCTCTATTTTTTTAATTATAAATATGAAAGTTTTGTTTTAATCTTCCTCTTCAGTACAAATAACAATAATACAGTTCCATAATTTAACTTAAATTCATTCAAGGAGCACAAAAATCACCAATGCATGCTTGGCTCTGTTGCGCAGGAGCACTATTGAACAAATTTTGCTGGTAACAACTTTAATTAATACAACTGCTGCTTGAAACAAAATATTTCACTGATTTTGAACTGGCCTAAGGAATAAACAGATAGTGTCAGTAAATAAATTATATATAAAATTCAATAAATTAGATATTTATCAAAAACCGGAATAATCTCTTAAAACTTAAAAAAAAAAATACCCTGTATTAAAATCCCATTGTTAACATGGGGCATCACAAATGGATTGTTGAATTTGT